AGTCCTTAATTCGTGGTTGCTTAGCCCTGTGGCAGCACAGTATATGATGGCAGGAAAAACATGGCAGAGCAAAGCCGCTAATGTCATAGTGGTCAGGAAACAAATAAAGAGAAGGGTCCAGAGTCTCAATGTCTCCTTCCAAGGTCCATTTCCAATAACCTAATTTCCTCTCCTGAAGCCCAGCCTCCTAAACATTTCATCACTTCCCCCAGAGTGCCGAAACAGGCTTTTAAGACATTGGCCTCAAAGGACTTTTCAAATCCAGGCTTCAAGACAATCAGAACAAGATTTATATTGCTATTTCATTTTCATGAAGAAATGAGGTGAATTATGTTTTATTTTAGTCTCTTTGATCTACATGATGAAAATCAGTTTCCAAATAACTCTCTACTCAATAGTAAAAATAGAACCATTCTAAAAAATTTTCAGACTATAAATGCTTCTAACATAAGCATAACCATTGTTGAGTATTAACTATAGCTTCTTTACCTATGATCCAAATGCTGCAAATAAAACAGGAACAAAAAAGCATGGCCAGTCTGTTCTGATCAAGCTCCTAGCACCTTAAAATTAAGAGACTCTGTGATTTAGCTTTTGCTTTTCCATTCTGAGAATTAAATCCAGAGCATTTCTTCTAGTTAATTATTTCTTCAATTCTTTCAACTAGAATGAGGGTTTTATGAGATTCATAACAAAAGCTTAACCCCAGTGCAAATAGAAAGCTTCAATAATGGTTAAACAGTGTAGATTTTTAATAGCTAAAACCATTTTCATATCATAAAATTTTGTCAAACAAGGAAGGAGCTATATTCCAAGAAATACATATCTTACCACGTTTACATTTATGTTTTTAGAAGACATTAAATATCTGAAAAAATGTAAAATACAGCCAGGTAGAAGAAAAAAGGAGACTCTGTGTCTTTAAGGTAGGGGAAAAAAATAACACCCAATCATTCTGAATGCGTTGCTTTAGTCATCTGGTTTCATTCTATTAATGACCTTTAACATCTGCAAAAATATTGTGAAAAGCTAATTTTGTTTGTACTGAGGTGGTGCAGAACAGTTTCTGGCTGTCACTCTAGGATGTGCTATAAAATAAAATTGTCATTCTGGGATTCTGACAAAAACCTACTGTACAGATCCAGTTTATTTACAACATCCAGGAATGAAAAGAAAACAGAATTTTACAGCATGCCTACAAGTGAAAAATGAATAGCTCTTACATATTTGTGTGTGTGTGTGCACTAGCAATATTACATGAAGATAGCTTCCCAAGATTAAAGATTTTTAATAAGATTGTAGGACATGCAACAAAAATTCTAAACAGCATAACTATTTCTCGACAAATGTTATACTGCTAAAATGTTAAAGCATTCTTCAGCAGACTGCTTTGATTTACTTCAGGAGCTGCACAGAAAAGAAAAATGGCCCCCCATCCTCATCTTCACAAGTCTTGTGTTCCCATTAATTAAAAAGGAATCTCTGTGGTGTCATTAGCAGGGCTAATGTATTGTCTTTCCAGTCTTAGAGGCCAAGGCTAAACTATGCCCAATATTCATTCAAAGAAATTGTTGTAACCATACCAGCTTTGTCCTTAATAGTTACTCATTCTCAATTGCCCTGTCCAATTTTGCAAATGATTTGTGGACTGCAACAAAATCTTCAGACCCAGATTTCTGGATATGATGAATGCAAGAGCTTCATGGTTCAGGAGTTTGATGATCACCATATGCCCAGTTCAGAGACAGAAGAATAGTAGTTCCAAATAGTAGCCTGATGAAAGAGATTTGGCTGCCATTTATTCAAGATTCTATTGGATAGTTATGTCCTTCTGCTAACATAACTGTCATGTGACCAGACATTGGCACCTGACTACTTCTAATGAAAGAGAATTTCCTGCCTTCCAAGGCAGCACGATATCTTTGAGAAACTTAGATTTTTTACAAAGTTTTCAGACTTTAGGGACAAGACTATTACATACCTGCAACCCTAATCACATGGGAGGAAGAGATTGGAAAGTTTGTGCTTAAAGGACATCCAGGGAAGAAAGTTAGCAAGACCCCAGCTCTCAACAAATAAGCCAGACATGGTGCTACACAGCTATATGGAAAGCAAAGAATCAAGTTCAAAGCTGTTCTCATACAAAACACATGAGACCCTGTCTTAAACATAGATAAAGCATATAGGGATGAGACCTGGCTCAAATGGCCATCTGGTTTGAAATCATGAGGCCCTGAGTTCAAACCTGTCTTCATGACTGTCTCTCTTGACAGGTAGCCTGTGCCATGACTTCAAATTCACTCATTATTGGAAAATTTTAGTTATTTATAAAAAAATAGCAAAGATGGAACAGGCACATTAGATAGGTAGATAGATAGATAGATAGATAGATAGATAGATAGATAGATAGATAGATAGATGGATGGATGGATGATAGGTGATAGGTCATACACGCATATTATATATACATACATGCACATATATTAGAAAGGACAACAGAGTCACAACAGAATATTGTTTTCTGATGTAGACATATTTTATCAATGAATAGTGTCTTTAGACAGACCTTTACAACACTTTCTTATAGTAAACTCATCAGCTTAGACAAAAAAAAAATTACTAAGCTCTTCAAATAGTTCTAGCCAAATTTATCCCTTGAATCTACAATAGTGACTTTCAGGGAACTCATTGCTCAAAATTTGTCATTTGCTTTATTTTTCATTACTCAATTTGACTTCTAATTGTTATCTATTGTAATGTAAACAGAATGACCAGGAAACAGGCTTTCTGGCCAATCCATCTTCTGCCTAGCCTAGAACTTTGTCAAAGGCACTCAAAGAATAGGACTGGAAGCCCTAACTTTCCTATCTGGGCTTCTATAAAAGTTTTGTCTCCGTCTTTAGTCACTTGTACTTCAAACTCCTAAGTGCAGTCATAATGGAGAAAATTCACTGAATAGTGCCAAATAAATACCTGCTGGGCTAGAATTCCCCCTACTGTGAGGGAGAGACAGTGATCTATAGGCATCCTTCCTGTCTGTTGACATGCTTTCAAGATGAATAAAGCTTTATCGTAACCTCTCTTTCTGGTTACTGATTGCCATCCTACCCAGTTATCATATCTCAGCTCTTCTGCATTTGCACAATGGATGAACTTTGGAGTGATATATTTTCTTTCCATATCCAAATATGTACAGTTCCATAATGGACCATCTGTCATTATGAGATTCCATGCAGACTACAATGCCCTAAACTTTCGTTGTCATAGCAACCACACCAAAGTCTCCAAAGCAAATTTGTAATCATTTCTACTCTGAGATTCTGTCCAACATGGGCTAGGAGTTAACATCCCAGAAATTTAAGTTACTCATAGCACTACCTTTTCTGTAATTAATGCTTAACTTTGTATGCCTCAGATTTCGATGAACTACATTATATTATTTAAAAGGGGGAGGAAAATTGTCTTTCAGTAAGCTGTGGGGTTTTTTTTTTCACTTTTTTTAGTTTTGGAGAGGAAAGTTAGTCTTGGTTTGAATTCTTGACAGACACTCGGATGTAGCAATCAAATCTTCCTTTTCACTTTGCTGAGGACCAATTTTAGAAGAGCTGAGGGGGAAAAATCAACTCATTGTTCATATTCTTGTCTCATATCTCATAGTATTCCAAAGCATCTGTGCCATATTATTGTAGGAAAAGGGAACCAAGAGAGTATTCTGGGGAGAAGGAAGAAAAATACTGTTTTTCATCTTGATTGGCTTTATTTCTTTCCTTCAGAGACCCTCTCCTGCTGATCTTTCACTTCTTTCTTGTCCCCCAGGCATGGAAATTTTTCTTCTCCTTTCCCTTTTATTTTCAGCCATTCCACAGCATGAACAGGGATGACTGCCTGGTGTTCAAGGGGAGGGCTGCATGATGTTCTTGGATCCCAGGAGAGCCAAGAAACTGGTAACTCTCCCTGCTGCTGCCTGGGGTCTCTCAAGCACTTTCCCAGTTTTTCATCCTTACATTTTTTTTTAACTTTCAAAACAGAGTTAATGGTTTTCATTTACTGAAGTGGGAAACAAAAGTATCTTATCAGTTGAAAGGAGAAAATGAGTTTTGGAGATACTAGAGGTCACTGTTAAAAAAAATAGTTTAAGTAAGGAATGGGACAGAGGGAGGCTTGTGATGATGAGGAAAAGGGAGCATCCTCCTAACTAGAGGAAATATGTTAGGATATTGTTGCATTCATTCAACAAGAAGCTAGGAACTGTCTAGTTGCTACAGAAATAGTTTAAAAGGTAAGTGTAATATGATCCCATGACTAGAGTGTGAGCCCTCAAAAGCAATTGGTAGAAATAAGATAGGGAAAACTATCTGATTGGGTATTTTAGTACTCTGTCTCTCTCTTTCCTTTTATGATTTATAATGATGTAAATTACATAATATTTTGTTTCACTTTATTTTACTGATACTCCATGCTCATTATTTAAAATTTTGAATACAGAAAAATGTACACTTAAAAAATTCAAATATGGCACCTGAAGATAGACATTTTTTTTTTAAGTTTGGAATATATGGAGGGACAGAGTATAAAGAAATGCAACAGTGGTACTCCCCAGACACTATGCTGAAGATGAACTAGTGGATGGGAATGGGAGGGAAGGGGTGATATTGTCCAAAAAGAAATATACTATTTGCCTTACCTGAGTAAGTATAACCCTCTGTACATCACAATAAAAAAATTGTTTGGCATATACTCTTCTAGGCTTCCCCACACAAATCTTACATAGCTCTTTTGCTACATGAATATGTGTGTTTAATTCTAGACTGTGCCCCCTAAAATGATGATTTAAAACTCTCACAAAGTATCAAAAATATTTTATAATCATTATTTAAATGTTGTGTAATTGTTCATAATGTGATCAAAACACAATGTCAATAAGCCAATTGACCAACATCAAAGAAATGGGGTTTTATTTTAGCTTTTTGGCTAAAATGCTTCCAAGAACATCTTATTTTTTAGAGTGCAAATGCAGCTCCTCCCCCCAAATACCACAAATTATGCCATCAGGTTTCCGATATTTGGGGAAATGGCAAGGGTCTGCATGTCTGGAATGGATAAGCCTCTCCCTGGAAAACTACTTTTGTGATCATGCTATCTCTTCTCCAGGTAATTATGGAAAGACCATCTTTAAATTATTTTTCAGCATATACTCACCTAGGAAAATTAATATTTCTTAATATTTCCAATATATAAGATCATATCCAATGCAGTGCATGACCGATTTATATTTCTTTTCATTATGTTTTTCTTCCCCCACTGACTGATTATGATATCCTGAATACTAGAATCGCGTGTCCAAGTTGTACTGTTGCCCTCTGTACTAGGCCAGACAGATACTAAATGAGGGTTACTATGAGAGCTCAAAGAAGCAAAGAAGTAGTGTTTTTAAGGAAATGGTCTACTGAGGAGAAACAACTTTAGATGATCCCTAAAGGAAGAATAAAATACTGATGTGTTAGGGGCATAGGGAAGATTCTGATCAAAATTGCCAAGAATGAGTTTCCTAATTGATGTTGTAGGAGCTGAAGAATTGAGATTTTGTGAAGACAAAATTGGGACAGTGATAATATAAATGATCCTTTTCTCTATAAAAGGAGCTCACCACAGTGTGAGCCTTCAACCATCAGGTTAGTGATCAGAAACTCTTATTATGATGGTGAGAAGGATGAAGTAACAGAAAATTTCATCCAGGAAGTTGTCTCCAAAGGTTTGTGTGAAATCTACATTCCTTAATCTCTATGAAGCCAAGAAATTGCTACTCTGGGATTACACACAACCATGTTTTTAAGCTGGGCAAGTGGAACACAAGTCTTCTTGGCATACAGATTTTTGCATGCATACTCTTTAGAGGACAGATATGGGACAGGTAAGTCCATGGTACAAAGATCTGTTTGAAGTTTCATGTATCTGAATTTCTTGCACCTGAAGCCTTCAGGTGACACAAGTGTTGTGCAGTTCTATATACATGTCCATGTTTTTATGCATGTATTATGTATTTAAGTATATGTGTGCACAGTTGACAAAAACCATGAATTGCTCCTTTTACACTGATTGCATAGCTAAAATATGATAGAAGCTACATAGTCATTAATCATTGCAAATAATGTCTCTCTGCTTGGAAATGTGTGACTGAGGCAGAGAAAGATGAGCGACATAAGACACCAGTTAACCTTTATACCTAGCTCTCCATTCCAAAAGAGGAAGATAAAGGCTGTTCCACACATTCATCTTACTGCCTCAATTACTTGAAGTGGATAATCAGCTTAACACTATAAGGACGATGTTGAATATGTGTTGATTTCTCTTTGGTATTGATTGCTGTGCTTTGACATAGTGTTCTAGTTATTATGCACCAAGGCACCACCTGGCTTCATTGTCTGTCTTGACTATTCAATGCATCAGGTGATCATCTTTTCTGAGGGTATTTTTTTTCATTGTGTATAGTTGCCAATATATGTGCCCAGAACTTCAGACACAGCTTATTAGCTGACACAACAGTTTCCATTTTAAAATATTATTTGGTAAAAATAATCTGTACAGTTTTCAACAGAATTCTCTCTGAAGTTCAATGATTTCATATTTGATAGACATAATTTCAGTTTTTTAGTAGATCAGTGTGAAAAATATAACAGGTGTACCATGGCACATATATGAGCAACCCAACAAATACATGCTGAATAACAATTATAATGAGAATCATTATTGCCTACTCTCACAAAGAAACATGTGCTTATATAGGGCATGTATTTCTGCCTACTCACCTGTCCACATGAGACAGATAATGTTACCCCCAAAGAATCAAGAGCAATGTTATTTCCCTGTCTTTGGTACACCTGAGGACCAAGCATCCCTTTTGTAGCTCCAGTACCTGCACTGTTGGGAAAAAGAGAGCACTCTCCAAACTTCATGTTATCCTTGTGAGTTATACCCAGCAAGCCAGAATCCTGCCAAACAATTGCCCCCAACCAATACCCTGTCTGCGATGTATAAATACAAGAGTACATGAGCTTTCTTTCAGTTATTCACACTTTATTAAAAAAAACAAAAAGATCAATTTTGTCATTGATTCAGTCTGTTGGCCCGAGGCACTCCATCAGTCTTTCCCTCACTCCCCTAAAATCTGAGTAACTGAAGCTTCTTATATTTCTGACAATAAGTCAACAAGAGCCAAGTTCCTTGGTACCTTAGAGGCCCTGCCCTCTAGCCTTCCACAAATGTGTGGGTTAGGGATTACTCTGCATATCCTTACCTGATGATTGAGCCTCTGAATATCACTGTGAACAAATACCTTCTACTTCGTCCTCAGCACATGCAAGTGCCTGATTCTTCTTAATAAGTACAGTATCAGAATCTTGCCTTGCTGATTTCCCAAGCACTAAGGTACTTTCTGTGATGAACCATTTATCCAACTTGCTAATGATGAATAACCAGTTCAACTGGGAGCACAGTTCTTCAGCTGATGGCAGATGCTCTCATATAAAAACTGTTCATCAGAAATTCTCAGCTGAAGATGATGGCAATTGCTTCTTCAGAGAGAGTTTAGAGTCTGCCTTCTCTGGAGATGTAACCTGACTTTAAGATGAAATAAATGGTAGGGGGAAAACAAAGGAGGAGACAACAATGCTTGATAAGGAATGTACTCATTACCTTGCTCATGTAACTGTAACCCCTCCTCTGTACAGTATTCTCACAATGAAAAAATTTGTTAAAAAAAAATAGAAACTGCAAGCTGGACACCACTGGTATATGCCCATCATCCTAGCTAGATCTGAAGATTGTGGTTCAAAGCTAGCTTGAACAGGAAAGTCCATGAGATTCTTATCTGCAATTAACAACCAAAAAGCCAGAAGTGGAGCTGTGGTTCTTCAAGTGGAAGAGTACTAGCCTTGAGTAAAAAAATTTCAGGGACGGAGCCCAGGCCCTGAATTGAAACCCCAGTACCTGCACACACACACACACACACAAATAATATGCTCATGTAATTGTAACCCCTCTGTACAGTATTTTCACAATAAAAAAACATTTTTTTAAAAAAGTGAAAACGGGTTATACCGTGGGGGAGGAACATATCAACAAAACAAAAAAAAAAATCACATGGTACATTATAAGTACGTTAAAAACAATAACAAAGCCGGACGCCGGGGGCTCACGCCTGTAATACTAGCTGGTCAGGAGGCTGAGATCTGAGGATGGCGGTTCAAAGCCAGCCCGGGAAAACTCTGTGAGACTCTTATCTCCAATAAACCACTAGAAAACCGGAAGTGGCGCTGTGGCTCAAGTGGTAGAGCACTCGCCTTGAGCTGAAGAGCTGAGGGACAGTGCCCAGGCCCAGAGTTCAAGCCCCACAGCCAACAAAAATAAATAATAACAAGGAAGAAAAAAACCACTGTGTCCCTGTCTTAGGGTTCATTTCTTAACATCATCTTATATGTCCATATGTACATAGCTTTTGACGTTTTCTGCTTGTCCTAGACATATACTAGTTATTGCAAATAAGGGAAACCATGGGACCTATATTTGATTCCGGTGCCCTGCATCTTGTATATATACTTTCCTAATTTGGGGAGTGTAAGGGAAAAAACAAAATACTTAAGCAGGGATACAGGTTGACCCATTGTAACAATGAGATGTACAAGACATTATGTTGAAAACAAACTTTACAACTTTGGTGGGGGGAGTAGTTGGGAGATGGGAGAGAAGGGGTGGTAGGGGAACAAAGGAGGAGGTAACAATGCTTGATAGGAAATGTACTCATTACCTTATTCATGTAACTGTAACCCCTCTGTAAAGTATTTTTACAATAAAAAAACAAAAAATAATAAACTTCAGATATGAATTACGCTATCTCTAGCCCACCTATTCCATGAGAGATTTAATAGTTGCCCACATATTCAGTCTAAACCAGAGAGATACCGAGTAGAATTGTTTATTATTATTGCATGCTCTCTACCAACATGCTCTCTCAGCCAAATGACTATTCTAAAAAAAGTGGCATTGGTGTGCTGCAATTTTAAAGGAATCTCCATCCTGTTTTCCCATGACAGTTAAATTACATTCTCATCATTTACTATTGTGGGGTGGGGGAGGTGGAGACAGGGGTGTGAGTTGTATGCCCACCAGACCTGGGACTTGAACTCAGGGCCTGGTTGTTTTTTTTTCTTAATCTAGCTTTTGTTAGAAAGCGTCCCAGCTAAGATTTTATGGAATGTAAGGGAGAAAAGTCGCTTCCTTTTCTCTCATCTTTATTTAACACAGAGGATCTTAACTGCAAATTCTTAAATCCTGAAGTTGAATTGAAAATATTAGGCTGCTAAGTATGTTTTTTTAATCCTGTTCTTTAGAAAAAGCCTAACAATATTCAACAAGAAATATACTCACTACCTTATGTATGTAACTGTAACTCCTCTGTGCATCACCTTAATAATAAAATTCAGTTAAAAAATAAATTTTTATAAGTCTAAAAATAATGGCAAACAGACAATGTAACAGCAATTAGCACGCCTCCAAACCAACTTATGTGAGCTATCCCAGTATCATGGCCTAATAGATTCTTGTCAGAAAGTCTCAGTACTAATTTGAAGATTCTCAATTGACTCAATAATGTGATGAGATTCATCTCATTATTGAGTCAATTGAGAATCTTAATGTGTGGGTTTCATTTTTTGTTTTTGTTTTTGTTTGGTTTTACATCAGTGTTGGAGCTTGAACACAAGATGTTGACATAGGTCCTGAGCTTTTTTGCTCAAGCCTGGTGCTCTACTACTTGAACCACAGCTCCACTTCCAGCTCTTTGCTGGTTAATTAGAAATAAGAATCTCATGGACTTTCCTGCTTAGGCTGGCTTCCAATGACAATTCTCAGATCTCATACTACTGAATAGCTAGAATTTTAAGTATGAACCCACTGGTACCCAACCGTACTGTTGTTTTACTTTTTGATTCTAACAGATGATATTATATCTCATTATGGCTTTCATTTGAATTTATTTAATTAATGGTGTGAAAAATAAGTTTGTTTTTAAGAGAAAGGTTTTACATACTTCCCTTCAAAACTACACACAGGTGATTCCATTTTCTTAGGAAATTGGCTGTGACAGCAATTTTTTGGAAATTCA